AAAAAAAAAAAAAATAGTTAAACAATATGTGGTATAGTCATACAATGGAATACTATTCAGCCATAAAAAGGAACAAAGTAGTGACATCTGCTAGCAGATGGATGAACCAAGAAAACATTACACTAAGTAAAAGAAACCAGACTCAAAACTCTACATATCATATGATTCCATTTATGTGCAGTGTACAAATAGGCAAATCCATATAGACAGAAAGATTAATGGTTGCCAGGGGTTGGAGGAGAAAGGAAAAGGAAATAACTGTTAATGGGATCAAGGTTTCTTTCTTTTTTTTTTTTTTTTTGTAGTTTTTTTGGCCGGGGCTAGGTTTGAACCTGCCACCTCCGGAATATGGGGCTGGCACCCTACTCCTTTGAGCCACAGGCACCTCAAGGTTCAAGGTTTCTTTTAGGGGCAGTTAAAATGTTCTAAAGCTATGTAGATGTTCTGGTGGTTTTTATGTTAATTATCTCAATAAGGATCTTGCTGAAAAAAACAAGATCAAGATGTATAAAATGTAGAGAAACTAGACTTCTCACACACTGCTGTCAGGAATATGAAATAGTACAATTACTTTGGGAACTATTTTGGTAATTTAAAATGTTAACTATACACACTTAGTGTATTACCCAGCAATCTCACACCTAGACACTCATAGATAATCCTGCATACAATTGTTTATAGCAACTTAATTCATAATCAATGGAAGTTGGAAAGAAACTATGTCCATCAACAGACAAATACACATACTATACATATTATGCTACATCCATACAAAAGACTACTACTTGCAATAAAAAGAAATAAACAAGGGCGGCGCCTGTAGCTCAGTGAGTAGGGGGCCGGCCCCATATAGTGAGGGTGGCAGGTTCAAACTCAGCTCCAGCCAAACTGCAACGAAAAATAGCTGGGCGGGCACCTGTGGTCCCAGCTACCCGGGAGGCTGAGGCAAGAGAATCGCCTAAGCCCAATAGCTGGAGGTTGCTGTGAGCTATGATGCCACAGCACTCTACCAAGGGCAACAAAGTAAGACTCTGTCTCTAAAAATAAAAAAAGAAAGAAAAGAGATAAACTATATATATTTTTGTTTTTGAAACAGAATCTCTGTCACCTTGGGTAGAGTGCCGTGGTGTCACAGCTCACAGCAACCTTAAACTCTTGGGCTCAAGCAATCCTCTTGCCTCAGCCTCCCAAGAAGCTATAAGCACTCACCACTACACCTGGCTAGTTTTCCTATTTTTAGTAGAGATAGAGTCTTGCTCTTGCTCAGGTTGGTTTCCAACTCCTAAGCTTAAGCAATCCACACCTGCCTTGGCCTCCCAGAGTGCTAGGATTACAGGTGTCAGCCACCATGCCTGGCCAAGAAATAAACTACAGATAGAACAATTCAGAATGGATCTCAAATAATGCTAAGAGAAACTAGTCAAAAATAAAGGATATATCATTCCATTTGCGCAAGAGTCTAGGAGCAGTAAACTAATCAAAACAGAAAGCAAATCAGTAGATCAGTAGCTGCTTGAGGACAGAGGGACAGAGAAGGAAAAGATGACACAAGGAAATCTGGGGAGGTGATGGAAATGTAAGTATTTACTATCTTGACTGTTATGATGCTTCATGGGAACATACAAGTCAAAACACATCAAAACTGTGAATAAGGCTCGGAGCCTGTAGCTTAAGCGGCTAGGGCGCCAGCCACATACACCAGAGCTGGCAGGTTCAAATCTAGCCTCGGCCCATCACATGACAATGACAACTATAACAAAAAAGTAGCCGGGCGTTGTGGCAGCCTCCCAGCTTCTTGGGAGGCTGAGGCAAGAGGATAGCTTAAGCCCAAGAGTTTGAGGTTGCTGTGAGCTGTGACACCACAGCACTCTACCCAGGGCAACAGCTTGAGACTCTGTCTCAAAAAACAAACAAAAAAAAAATACAAAACTGTGAATAACTATGTGCAATCTCTTGTCATCCCCAAATTATCACCTGCAAGGCTTCCTGGTCTGGTGGGGCCTGCCCTGGCCTGCGGTACATGCTCAGCATCTCCTGCAGCACCTTCACGTGGCTTCGTACTTCCTCCACGGCACTGACTCTCCTGGACACCTTCTCTGATTTTTCTTGTTCCTTTTAGGACAAAGAGTAGGATGGAAGTGAAGAAGCAGAAGCCTGGATGAAGCCTGAACAAGGGCTAAGAAAGGATTATTGCTGAAAACTCGTGGAAGCCACCAGAACAGTAAGTGAAAGTAGCTGTTCACTTGACAAGTAAAGAAAATACTCAGAACCTAAAATTCCTGGGGAGGATAATGCAGTTTGGGGTCTGGTGACCTACTAAATTATACCAGCAGCCTTGATCCCTCTAAAAAGCAGATTCCTAAGTCTGAACTTTTGTCTACACCAATACCAATACCTGTCCCTGGGACAGAAGTTGGTAGCTAAAAAATGCTTTAAGAACCATGGACAAAAGCAGCTGGGAAGTATCACAGCAAGATTTCTGCTTGCAATCACTACCTTCCTGCCCTTTAAGGAGACTACGACTATTCCCCAGAGTTGAGTACTAGATGACCATTCTTTTCCCCAGACAACAGTTCATTCACTCCCTCAAACACATACATACATACATACACTGTTCCTTGTCAAACCTTGTTCTAGCAAACCCATTGAAAAAATGCCCACCTCCTTGACCAAATTCTTGATCAGCCGGTTTGCAGCCTGAAGATCCTCAGGGTGGTTGCTCTTCAGAAGTTTTGTCAGAAGCTAAGACAATGAACAAAAACAGTAGGTGAAACTATAATTGCTGTAGGTCCAGAGTAGAAGCAGTAGGAATAGAGGAATTTACACTAATACCAACAGTTTGTGCATTTTATACACATCAAAGACCATTCCAATAGACCACTGGTTTTTCAATGGACTAGGGAGTTGGGAGGTTTATACCTCCCAGGGGATAGCTGGTGAAGTCTGGATACATTTGGTTTCACATCTGAGGAGGGGTTCTGCTGGCACGTAGTAGGTAGAGGTCAGGCATGCTGTAAACATCCTAAAGTGCACAGGACAGCTGCCCTGCACTTGACAGAGTTATCTGGTCCAAAAGTTCAGTAGTGCCTAAGCTGCCCCAAACCATGTGCTCTTTGATGGGACAGACTTTGGTGACCTTGCTCATCATTTTGTTCCCAATGCCTAGAAGAATACCTGGCACACAGGAGTCATTCAATCTTTGTTGGATGGATGGCAGGAAAAATGAGGATAATGAGCCCAGTGATGCAAGATTATAAGTTTCTCAGAAGTCACACCATACCTCCTCCCTAACTCTTCCCAGCCTCTGCAAACTTAAGACACCACATCGGAGAGGCGCCAAAGAGAAATGCAGCCTAGAACCTAGACTTAGCCTTGCTTATGCTAACACCAGTGACCTGGTGGCCACAGAGCATCTAGAACCAAGAGAAGGACACGGTGAGGGGGTGTAACTGGAAGGCAGAGCAGACCAAACAGAAACACGTCCGTGGCTGGTACTTTCATGATACTGTGATCATTAGACCTTGTGACTGACCAAGAACAGTAATAACCAAGAGCAGTCTCCCCATTCACACGCACTACAGTGTTATCCTTGGGTCTTGGCCTAGGTTTTGACCACCTTCCTCTTCTCTTCACTTTCCTTACTGATGTCCCAGGACCAACAATTCTGGGAGACCACAGTGGAAAGAAAACTGGTGAAGGCAGGCTCACTGGCACTGAGAAAGATCTAATTTACAAACCAACTCTTTCTTCTCCACCATTCCCCACCCTAGTAACACATCCACACTGGATATAACCAATCATCCACACATCCCACAATCCCCTTACTGTATCTTTTTTCAACCGTGTCTCCCCCAGAAACACTTGTACTGACAAGGTGGAGCACACAAAGAACATAGCATTTGTTATCTGGCCCATCTGTGCAGACCACACAGAGACTTTCTGCTACTCATTCCTAAGGGCCTCTCCACAGAGAACTCACTAACCCACCTCCCCATTCTCCACTTTGGCTTACAGATTAGAGGATATTTCAAGGGGAGTCCCTAAGAGAAGGGGTCTAAAAACAGTCCATGCAGGCCACCGAGGTCAGGGAGGAGTCCATACCTTTGACTTTTCTTCATCAGCATCAAAGATTGAGCTCTTAGGCCAGGGAGAAGGTGGAGGTAAGATTTTATCCACTGGTAGCTTAGGGTCTTGTTTTATAATTCCTAAAAGATGCAATTCACAAAGTCAAGACAGTGATATGGGTACTGACTTCAGCCAGAACCCCGTATAAAGTTCTGAAATCCTTAGTTTCCTGATACCTCATAAGGAAAATCCTATCAATGGCCTTAAAGCAATACACCAGGGTCTGAATGAGGCTTTGTATCATCTCTCAGGAGAATCCAAGGAACCACCACAAAGGGGCATCAAAGCCAGCCATGTCAGAACAACCAGCCTCTAATGCCTGTAAGTCTGTGGGCCTTACGCTAGCTATTAAGATACTCATCACTTTATATAGTTACTTAATTTCCTAGGGCCCAAAATTTACTGGGGGATTCCTGATGAAGCTCCTAAAAATATTAAGTGAGTGCATATAGACAAAAAAGTCCCTGCTGAACCTGGGTTCCTTCCTCTGAAGAGCCCAATATAAACAGAATGCAGACCAATCTTCTTAATAGGATGCACAAAAATCAGATCAGCATCACTCCCATTGTGACAACATCAAAACCCTGGACAGCATACAAATTCACAACTTTCCTGAAACCTTCAGAGAGCTGAGATCACAGGGCAAAAACCAATTAACCTGAAATCTAACAAAAAGAATGCCTCCAAAAAGACACCAGAGGCAATGCCAATAAAAATGACTCAGGTAGGCTCGGGGCCTGTAGCTCAAGTGGGTAGGGCGCCAGCCACATACAGTGGAGCTGGCAAGTTTGTATCCAGCTTGGGCCCGCCAAACAACAATAACAACTACAACTTAAAAATAGCTGGGCATTGTGGTGGACGCCTACAGTCCCAGCTACTTGGGAGGCTAAGGCAAGAGAATCACTTAAGCCCCAGAGTTTGAGGTTGCTGTGAGCTGTGATGCCGCAGCACTCTACCCAGGAATTGAGATTCTGTCTCAAAAAAATAAATAACTCAGGTGAAACGGCTTAAAAATTATTTACAGGCAAGTGAATATAGAGCTTCTGGAGGTTGCACCACAAAGAAAATAAGCTTTTTTCTGGGGGCCTCATCAGGAGCCCACAAAGAGTGGGAAGGTGACCAGGATCTATCTAAATCCTCTCTCTACAGAACAGAAGTCTTAAACTGCTACGGGAAGGGCCCCAAACCTATAGCCCTTCCAACTTGTCTTCTTTTCTTAGCAAAAAAACAAAAAAAACAAAAAACAAACCCTGCAGCCCTTACAGTAATGGTAGAAACCCACTATAGCTGGAGAAAGAATTGGGGGGCAGGGGCAAGAATTATGTCCTCAGGCTTGGCACCTGTGGCTCAAGCGGCTAAGGCGCCAGCCACATACACCTGAGCTGGCAGGTTTGAATCCAGCCCGGGCCGCCAAACAACAATGATGGCTGCAACCAAAAAATAGCCAGGCATTGTGGCAGGCACCTGTAGTCCCAGCTACTTGGGAGGCAGAGGCAGAAGACTTGCTTGAGCCCAGGAGTTGGAGGTTGCTGTGAGCTGTGATGCCACAGCACTCTACCCAGGGTGACAGCTTGAGGCTCTGTCTCAAAAAAAAGAATTATGTCCTCAGCCCAGACCTAAGTTGGAATGGGGAGTGATCACAATTAGATTCTCTCAAGTCTCAGGGACAAAGTATCTGCCTAAGGCTGAGTCTTACTCAGAATAAATGGACCCTGTCTACCTTCCCAACCCCTGAATAACAAATGCCAGCTGTCTACTGTGAGGAGTGGCAATGGCAGGTGAGAGGAAGACCTACAGCCAAAAGCAGAGCAGATACTGAAGAAACTCTTAGCAAATCAGCTCCCAACCTAACCACCAGCTAACACTAGAAAAGTCTGAAGTCTGGTATAGTGAGGGTAACTATAGCAACAAATCTCAAACCCAGCTCAAATCCTGCCTACCCAGAGGCAAAGGTCTACCCATTCCCAGAAACAAAAACTATTTCTTTCACTGATGAATATGCTATTTACCCCGATTTGATCATTAGGCACTGTATGTATGTGCTGAAATTATCACACTGTACCCTATAAATATATATACTTATGTGTCAATTAAAAATAACAAGGCTAGGTACACTGGCTCATGCCTGTACTCCCAGTGCTTTGGAAGTCTGAGGCAAGAGGTTGAGGCAAGAGTTGAAGGTTGCACTGAGATATGATCACACACTACTACACTCCAGCCTGGGTGACAGAGTTAGATTCTGCCTCTAAAAAAAATTACAAATAATAAATCCATGGATCAGTGCCCTTAGTACAGTGGTTACAGTGCTAGCCACATACACCAAGGCTGGCAGGTTTGAACCAGGGCCAGCTAAACAACGACAACTGCAACAACAACAACAAAAATAGCCAGGCAGGGTGGCGACTGTGGCTTAGTGGGTGGAGCACTGGCCCCATGTACTGAGGGTGGCGGGCCGGGCCCAGCCCGGGCTGGGCCTAGCCAGGCATTGTGGTGGGCGCCTGTAGTCCCAGCTACTCAGAAGGCTGAAACAAGAGAATCGCCTAAGCCCAGGAGTTGGAGGTTGCTGTGAGCTGTGTGACACTACCAGACTCTACTGAGGGCGATAAAGTAAGACTCTTATCTTTACAAAAAAAGAAAAAAAAAATAGCCAGGAGTTGAGGAGGGCTCTTGTAGTCCCAGCTGCTTGGGAGGCTGACGCAAGAGAATCGCTTAAG